GATTTTCTCTCGCGGTGGCCCAAAGTATCGGAGGCTAAGAGGTGTCATTTCACTGCTACTGCTGCCCCGGTATCCCGAGAGGAGTTGCTCCAAAAGATACTATGCAGAAATCATAACGTGTCTATCAAAAGGATGGCGTCCCGACCTGAAGCGGAAGTTCGCAGCTTTCTATGCACAACGCGAAGAAATCAGTGTCCAACCTAACGGAATACTATGCCGCAACGAGCGACAGATCATCCCACCTCCGTTACGCAAGGCTGTGCTAGAAGACCTACACGAAGGCCACTTAGGGATGGAGAAGATGAAGTCGTTGGCAAGACAGATGTGTTGGTGGCCCGGTCTAGATGAAGACATTGGTCGAACTGCTAAGAACTGCGAAGCATGCCTACAAAAGCAGACGTCAAAACCGAAGAATTGGGTTCCATGGCCAGAAAGTTGTATTCCGTGGCAACGTGTGCACACCGATTTCTGCGGACCATTTCTTGGTCATTATCACGCACTAGTGCTTATCGATTCATACTCCAAATGGCCTGAAGTGTTTCTAACCAGCACACCATCTACATCGTTTGTGATGCGAGTACTACGAAAGTGTTTCAGTCGAGAGGGTGCACCTCAAGTGTTGGTGACTGATAATGGATCGCAATTCTGTGCGGCGGAGTTGAAAACGTGGCTGGACAGTATTGGATGCCGACATCTACGCACAGCACCACGTCACCAGGGCGCCTTCTTTCCATAAAAAATGTCTAACGCATCAAACCTTTCTTCATATGACTTGCCCCTCATGATAGAGACCATTCGGGTGGCTAACGTTTGTACCCTGTCAATGCAATGTCTTTCTGGATGTGGGGTACCAAGGCCTGCACACAGTACTCTAGGTTGGGCCTCATTAGTGCCTTATACAACTGGATAAAGACTCCTGCCTTCCGAATGACCTATGTATTTCTCAACTGGAATAGTTAACCTCTCGGTCTTTGAGCTGCAGCCTTACACTGATCACCTGACTAGTAATTTTCGAAAACCGCTATTGGACCTCCGTCAGTGTTCAATACGTAACACTTCGACGGATTTATATCCAGTTCTCATATCTGAGTCCAACAGAACACCGTTGTTGGGTCTCTCTGTAGTTGGTCTCGCTGACCTATATTAACTAATTTTGCATCATCGACTAACACGAAAGTTGGGTTGGACAAACCCGTAACTAAGTCATCAATATAGAGGAGGAAAAGTGTCGGGCCTAAGACAGAGCCGCGTGGCACCCCACTGGTGGTTTTCCTCTCTGTCGATAGTGCCTCTCCTACCTGAACCCCGAAGGTCTACCTGCTCATTAAACCCCGCATCCGTTTCATGGGAGTCCAAAGAAGGCTAAAGTTCTCGAGGCTTTCAGATCAGATCAGATTCCAGTTTCTTGCTCGAGTAGGCCTGAAGTTCCCCCGTGCTTCAACCGTCCGGTATTTTTGGTCCACGGATTGCAGGGTGCAATAACGGGATCACTCCTGGTGAAAGTTCTCGAGGGTTATCAGCAGTAATCGGTGATTAACCGAGTTAAAAGTTCAAGTGGCAAACTTCGACCTTTAGGCCTTCATCCGACTTCCTTGTGACTTTATCTCGGAGGCACAGTAGGTTGCTGAGTCATGATTTCTTTTTGAGGAACCCATGATGAGTTGGGGTAAGTAAGTTGTAACCCGCAATACGCTCACCTATGCTGTTTCTAACTATTCTCTCACGTCCTTTACAAACTAAACTATTCAAACTAATCGGTCTGTAGTTTCATGGCTCCTTTCGGCCACCTCTTTCTGTATCGCCATAACTGTCGCCGTCTTCCAATCTTTCTCTACTTTTCCAAGTCTTGGGGATTTTGCCGGCGACGCTAAAATCTGTTAAAGCNCTACCTGCAGATCGCTCATCGGAAGAGCTCGTATTCATAGCACATGTGAGGGATAGCTGCACCTATCAAGCATTTTCTAGACGCTTTAAAAAACTACTTGAGTAACCCTCGCTCCCCGCCTCTGTCGACACCTCTTCCCCTGTGTGTTTTCGTAGGACCCCAACCAATTGTCTCAGGGCAGCCTTCGATTGCACATACGCGTATAACCCGTTTGGGATTAGTTTTAGCCTGCTGAGCAATCCTCAGTTCGTGCTTCATTTTAGCTTGTTTTATATGCTTGCTTGCGTAATTTCGGGCAATTTCGCAGGCCAACCTCCTGTACTGCCCTGAATGCTATCGCTCTCTTCAAGGGAGCCGTTCACCATGACGAGCCTTGCGAATTCCGTAGTATACGAGCAGGAGGGAGGACGAACGAGACTCACCGAATTCACACGAACAATGGTGAACAATCCTTGTTTAAACTTAGATCGAACTGGCTGAAAAGGAGACACAACAGTTAGCTGCGTACTTGCGGAAAAATGATCGTCGTATAAATCCACAAGGAAGAACACAAAGTCGAGAGACTACGTGTATTGGCGACAGTCACAAGAGTCAAGCGGAAGCGGTACAGTATTGCCTATCTTGGCGTGCGTCAGTCAAGTCTCATATACAAACAGTGGAGCAAAAGCAGTCAGTCTTTTAAGCCAATAATATAAAGTATTAGGCCTCAAGATCCGTCTGTCGATTGGTGTTTCTGTTTTCGTGTTGCACATAGTGATCATATTCTGAAAGGCAAAAATGGAGAGAGAAAGACAAAATTAGGCGGCTGGTTTGAATAGTGGTTGTACACTATTTTTCTTCGGTTGCAATGGTGCGTACTTGTCAGTAAGCTCTACCAGGCGTTCCCAAATTACTCCCCACTAATCCTAGGAAATAGCATCTTGATTGGACGACCACCAAATGGTTGAATCAGCCTCATGAACTAGGATAACTAGAAAACGTTCTACCGCGCGACTATTCCATATCCCCGTTTTTCTCGCTTTGGTGGGATTTCATAAGATTACATTAAAAATTTGCTTGCCGCGCATTTCGAAAAAATGATGCTGAAATGGCTCACTGGGGGCAACCATCTTGATTGTTTAGCCAACCACTTTCATTTCACCCTTTTCCTCGCACAGGTCATGCAGTCGGAGCAAATCATCTCCAGGCTGAGGAGTTGGATAGACCAATCAGGACCGACCGAGCTACCTATGGAAAACCCAGAGAATTCTGATTGGCTGCTGTGTTTCCCCCGGAAATTTAGCCTATATATATCCACGAACAGTTTTATTATACACACATTGTTTCCAGTAAAATAGACGCTTCTTCACTCACTTGTCTTCTTCTGAGTGCTGTGGTATCGTGAGGCATTGACTACTCAAGCCGTGTCGTTCCTCATTGCAGCTGGTGGCATATTACATATTTGGCACCCACGGAAAAAGAATTTCCCCGATTGTTCATTCCTTTTGCAGAAGTGGAGGCCGATATGGAGACCGCATCACCATATGAATGGATTCCAGCGCTCATGGCCCCGGAGAAATTCGTACCTAGAGAAGTTTTCGACGTTTGGGAATCGCAGGTACGACGTTATGTCCGCAGGCTGCCGTCATCGTATCAAGCAGATGCGGTGATTAATCTGCTAACGAGGGAGGCCTGCAAGTTAGTAATGGACTTCGACCTCCCCTGACGTTGTATATAGCCTTCTGGTGACCCTGAGGCGGCGTTTGGCAGAACCAAAAACGACATTTGAACAACGAGAAGAGTTTTACATGCGACAGCAGCGACTTGAGGAAAGTCTGATGGACTAATTGGGGTCTGTGCGGCATCTTATTCGGTTGGCACACCCTATGTATATAGTCGAGGAAAGTAATTCACATAGTCTGGATCGTTCTCTGGCTGGGCTCCGGGAAACCTGAGCCAAAGATGAGTTACACTTAAGGTCACCAAAAGACCTTGTCACCGCAGAGTCAATTTCCGAGATCCTGGACCGGAACGGGTACCGTGAAAAGCGGGCAAAATGAGTTTTCGCTGCAGGTTTTAGACAGGAATGCAGACCATCACCCAGAGAAAGTGGCGCAAGGAAACCTCTAGTGGTGTCCACATGCTACATTTGTCGTCAAACGAGACATACTTCGCGATTGTGTGGGAAGCGAGGAGGACCGAGTAAGTCCATACTGAAAGTTGTTAATGCCAATAATTTCACTACTATGAAGATGGACGCAGGATTACCCTTTGTGGAGGTAAAGGTGGAGGGCAAAGCAGTTAATTATTTGTTAGATTCCGGGTCGGTCAGCAGTTTAATAAATAACAAGCAGATTGTTTGGAAATCCAAGGCCGACCACTCAAAGGAGACTTCCTTGGTCGCAGTAAATAGGTCACCGGTAACCGTACACGGGAGGGTAGACTTGACGTTGCGAGTAGGCAAACAGAAAGTTAACAACGAATTCCTGGTTGTAGAGAACCTCCCGGTTGCCATCGTGTTGGGGGTCGATTTTCTAAGAAGGACAGAGTATCATTAATTTTGGTACACTGCGGGTCTCAATAGGTGGTTCCTGGGTGAAGTTTAAGATGGAACCGAAAGATATGAGTTCACAAGGGGAGTCTCAAAAGGTCGCAAAATTGGAAAATTTGATAGCATCCGTTTCTGAAGAGGTTCTCGGGGAGACCCAAACTCAGTTTCGGAAACTAGCGCAAGAATACCACCCGGTCTTTGCATGGGAAGGGGAACCACTCGGTGGAACAAAAATGGTTCACCATGATTTAGACACAGGAGACACAAGACCAATCCGGCAGGCGCCACAACGCATACCCATCCACCGGCAGGCGGAGTTGAACAACGTAATGAAACATATGCTCCATCACGTTATTATTAGACCATCTAAGTCCCCTTGGACCGTCACAGTAGTCCTGATTAAGAAGAAGGACGAATCGTTACGCATGTGTGTCAACCATTGGATGCTGAACGCAGTCACACGTTAGGGCTCGTTTCCGCTGCTTCATTTTGATGATACGCTAAACAAATTGTCGGGCTTTAAATGAATTCCTACTTTCAATCTTGAATCGGGACGTTGAAAAGTCGAAATGAATCCCAGAGATCGAGAAAGGACGCCTTCTGCGAACCTACTGGTCTAAAAGAGTTAAATACCATGCCCTAGGGTTATTAAGAGGACCGCTGTAACGACCAAAACGCGATTGTCCTGGTCCGAGCGAGACGAAAAAGACCTCGTCTGTATGCGTTCAATCAAATGATCTTTCGCTCGTTCTGGATAGCGATAAACAAATCTCAGAGCAATGCGTAGCCCAAATTATCGAGAACCAAGTCGATCCAAAAATAATCTACGGTACTATTTTCGCATTAATCACAAATACATAAGGTAGTCATACCTCTGATAGTGAGCCTGATTCACTATCCAGCCAAACTTTTACAAATATTCACAGAAAATATCTGCGGTAATAAAAAGTAAATAAGAAAATGAGCGACTTGAACTACCTTTCAAATAATTCTGGACCAATGGGAAAATTATGCACACTCCAACAGATCAAGCAAAATAATCTT